AAATAATTATACAAAGAAATTTGAATAATTATATAGCACGTTTTTTATATAATTCTATAAATTTTATATAATATATAAAATTTATAGAATTATATAAAACGCCGGCAGTTTATATAATATATAAATATTTATCTTATTTGATTCTTATGGTGGTTTTCCCTTTTGAGCGACGCAATAGAGCCATCCCGTCTGCTGCCGGGAAGGAAATCACTCCCAATTGCGAAAATGCTTTGTGGGACCTGGTTTCTTTCAATGCAGTTGCGAAGAGGTAGACGAACTCCTTGAGGTCGACCGCGGGTCCTCGCAATAGAGATTCTGAACTTTCAACGACGTCAAGTGCGTCTGCAGCCGCAATGCGGAAAAGGTCGCTCTTGTCGCCGTATCCGTTAAGACTTGCTGCGCCTGCACATTTGAGGCACCGCTCCCTGCAACCGTGGTCCTCGATCTCCGCCGGATCCGCGTGCAGACATTGATTGCAGATCTGGTCTGAGGCGGTCTTGATATGGACAACAATGCCAGCCGTCCGGTCACGGAAGTCCAAATCAGTCGACACAACCTCGATCTTGGTCCATCCTTTCTCATTGACACGATCCTTGAGGTCCTCGGACACGGGGTTAAAGCGAAATCCTGCCGGGTCAATCCCACTCGCCTCTGCCGATCTCACTATATCCTGCTCTGTCCCCGACAGATACTCAGTGATACTCTCCTCCAGATCACAGATGGTGTGGGACTTGATCATTGCCGAGCAAAACAGTCGCTCCCTAGTCAGACGCCGATCCAGCGTGTACCACATGTAGCTCTCGGTCTCGTACGTCAGCTTCCCACCGCTTTGCCTGTACTTTCTGATGTTCCTCCAGAATGTGTAGGACTTGAACACCAACGCTGGAGACTTCACACCTGCCACGAAGATGTCGGCATAGTGCTTGAGTGGTTCATTCGCAGCAAAGATGTCCGCGGTGGTGTTGAGCGTAATGACCACCGGTCGCGGTACAATCCCTTGGATCGCATTGATGACGTCCGCGCATTGCCCGAAATACCCTTCCATGTCCGGCTTAATCGTGAACATGCTCCCTTTTGCGCGCCATTCCATGGCATCGGACAATGAGACCCAAATATGGACTGATTCTGTCGTGTCCTTTGCGCTGTTTCTGCACCGAACAAGCTGATGTAGGAGCTCACCTTCTGACTCCGGAGCATTCGGTGTCCGGACAAATAATAGCACTTATGGACCAACCTGCAGCTGCATTCATCCCATCGGGCATCGCCGTCGTCACTCCCTTGTTGGACTTATAGTAGACCACCAAGTCGGTCACCAGGATGAAATTCCCCCAGCGGAAATCGCCAATTGCGGTTCTTACTGCTGCATCCGCCTCCGACCTAGCCGTCTTGACAATTGTTTCGTGCTGGGGTTCGACGACTCCACGCAAAAGCACAATAAGCGATGACGGCGATAGGAAGTTCCTCGTTTGAAGAATATTGAAGTTGGCGCAGTAAAATGCGTAGAGCGAAATCCACGCTTCCCAACCAGCGTCGACGTAGTGCTCGAAGCCCTCGACCATAAAGTTCGCGGGAGTGGCTTCGCCCAATGACCAATCACGTGCGTTAGCCTACGTACATAGGCATCCCACACTGGCACGATCGTACCCGGCTTCGCCTGGATGACCTCCGGCAATCCTGCTGCTGCACAAATTCGGTTTTCACTATCCAAATAACTCAATACACGACTCTGGGACACCTCCGTGTACTGGGTCGCCTGAACGTTCATCCGGACATCGCGGTAGCAATGACCTCTGGGTGGTTCAGGAAGTTGCCACCTCTCATCTTTGTCTCCCTCAATCTGGGACAACTTCACCAGGGAATTTCGCAGCTCCGAGACATCATCGCTCGCACGTGGCATAGCTTTCGCCTCGGGTTGTGTAGGCGTCCTGGGCCGAGCCTTTGGTTGAGGTCGCGCCTTGCCCATTGGCCCCTTATACCAGGTTGGAACATGCTGCTTAACACCCTCCTTCGCATCTCTTGGGTTCTTGTCGTCATCCGCGTAATAGCAGAATGGCTCGATGCACTTCGGGTTGGTAGTGAGCTCAGCCCCCACTTCGCGGATGAAGTCCGAGAATTGTTCCCTAGCCGTAAGGGCGGAAGCAATGGCTGTCCACCGTCCGTTCTCTGCCCCGATACTGTCGTCGGCGTTGACCACTAGGTTCTCGTTGAGGCCCAATGATTGCAATACCTGTTTGGCAGGCTCACTGTACCTCTGCAACAACCAATCTGTGATCGCCTGACGATCCGTGGATCCACTGGGGATCGATCCCCAGAAGGACTCGTACTGATCGGTTTTCACCAGATTGCGGGCGCTGTACATCAACGCAAGTAGAGCGTTCTGCGCCGCTGCCCACTCCATGATGTTGTCCCTCTCGTCGGCCGCCATATACGATTGTAGAATATGATAAGCTGCTGTTGGGACGGGTTCAGCTTCAGTGCCGTCGGCAGGCATGTGACCTTGCCTCCGTACTTCGCTGACCCTCCTCATTGCAAATATCAATCCGTCTCTGGCGGCCTCCAGGATCTCCTCCCATTGGTTAGCCACATCAATGCTAACGCCCTTGGAGCTAACCTCTCCGCGGTCGAACACTGCGTAGAAGTAGTCAGCCCTGGTATGAGATTTCCAAGAGTCCCAATTGACGGTGTACCTAGACAGCATGGTTCTGCCCTACCCCTCCTGCACAACCAACGAAGTTTGGACTGCCGTGAAATCCTTGTCAATCAATTCACGAACAATGCAGTATTTGTTCAACTCCTCCCAGAATACGCCTAGGCTACTCACGAGGGAAGAGTCAAGCAGCCTTCCGGTCAGGGCCGCTCTCCACTGTGCGTTGGTCGTTGTGAAAGTCTTGAGGTACTTGCAGATGGTCATAGCATTCACCATCAACTTCCCCACCCGCATCATTGTTTCTTGACGCGTGAGGCTCTCGTAGATGGTCTTGAACACCAACCCTAATACTCTGTAGTCAGCGATGCTCTGTGTGCAGGCAAAGCAGGACCAAACCAGAAGAGTAGGTAGACCAATGTGTTTCCATGTACATGCCGTCTCCAGGTTCTCTTTGAAGTTGTTGAGTTCATTCACCTCAGCATACCTTGCCGCCACTCTCTGTTCATTGACGTTGGGGTCGACCCGAATGAATCGTCGTGGTACTTTGCGAGTCCGCTCCTTGAAGCCATTGATGACGGCCTCGCAGGACGTCCTATATACCGCCGGCGTGTCAAGGGGCCAAATACCGTCAATGTCCGCAGAAGGCTGTGCAGCGGTATCGTCCTTCCTCACGTACATCTCGACTGCAATGGGATAAGGAAATCCACCAAAATAGCAATCGAGTAATGAAAGGTCGGATGTGGGAAAATAATCACCAAAGGTCAGGTTCCGGGAGCCGACGCGCAGTCTCCCTTCACCGCGACCTAGGTGTTGATTCACCGGGCGAGGGCAGCCGACGTGCAGTCTGTCCTCTCCGGAATCCCGAATACCATGGGATAAGAAACTGCTGCGGAGTCCCAATGTCTTTCGTGAGCAACTGTTGACTGCACACAGTGCGCTGGATGATTGGACTCTTCGTGAAACACGTGGAAAGCACTTCACAAGGGGATTGCCCAATAACCTCAACAATGCTCTCTGACGGCTGACACGTTCGGAACTCATGCATGCAATATTCTACGAGCCGACGGCACAATGATGGAGAATACACCTCAGTGCCCTTAGTTTCCCTTCCGGCACATGGCGCATGTTCGTGGGATCCATCACATTTGAGATCAAGACCTTTTGGTTTCCCGAGATTCCATGAAACGAATGACCAGGGTTTTTTGATCGCCCTGCCCCCCCCGTGCTGCTCTACCACGCCGTACATACATCCGTGAATGTGTAAACGAATGCAATCCGATCCCGAAATGAGGTTGAGCTATCTTCGGTCGTTCCAATAAGAACATCCCGTGGGTAATTCCATCAAAGCCCCGCATTGTTGACGGTTGAACATCACTTCCACAAATGCGTCAAAGAGCTTCCAGAACAGGATCTTCTTCTTCTCGATCTTGCCTGCAGTCTCACCGCCTCTCGACTCATTGAGTCTATTCCAAGCAGATCCACCTGTGCAGGGTCCCGCAAAGAATATGGTGCCCCTGTTGGATCGCATAGATTTGAGAGTGGCATGGTACCCGTATTTTCCAAAGTTGAAATCTTCTTGTTCGGTGATAGTCATCAAATTGATCTTCCCCGTCCCTTTGACCTTGGAAAAATGATTCTTGATTTCCGCACAGGCCAGAATTAATGTTGAGCTCATCTCTCTTGCTGCTGGCCTTTCCCAAAGATTGTGCAGTGAGTGCAACCTGGGAGACACTGTGGTCACATATTGTTCCTTCATTTTCTAAGCTGCAGGCAGGAAAGACTGACATGGTTCACAATTACAGGTTTACAATCTGGCAGGTCATGGGTGACCACGAATTTTTTGCCAATGTCATGAAGCTGCCACACTGGATGAACGCACAGCCCTGCTGACAGTGTAAGATGACTGGCCCTCAGCAGCAGAGCAATCTGGACAAAGACATTGAAGGCTGGAGGCTACCCCAAGAAGAAATGAATTGCAGGATCTCAGAACACCCACTTTTTACCATTCCTGGATTATCCCATTTCAATATTGCACAGGATGCAATGCACATCCTGTTTTGCAAAGGTGTTCTTTCTCATTGTATGGGCAACGCGTTGAAGTTTTGGTGCTACACTTGCAAGTCTCTGCCAGGAAGAAGCATAAGGGACAAAGTCAAACATATTTGGCAAAAGATACAGCAGCTCTACAAGGACTTTGACGTGGACTGCAGGCTGCCCACATTGAAGCTATCCATGTTCACCAACCCCGACAAGCCTCATCAGACCCAGCCTTTCCTTAGGGCAAAAGCTGGGGAATGGAAAGCATTGGTGCATTTGTTTGCACAACTGGCAGTGGACTTCCATGAAGGAGATGAAGTCTCCTCCAAGATCCTGGCTATCTTTGAAGACATGGCAGCTTTTGTAGATTTGATGGATGCAGCTCCCAGGTTTCCAAGTGAGCAAGAGGCCTGCCAGGCAGCCTTTCTGATGACTTCCTTTTTGGGGCATTACAAGTGGCTGCAGCTGCACAGGTCCAATGACTTCACTTGGCACACAGTGATCAAATTTCACATGGCCAAGCATCTGGCCCTTGCTTTCAGGTTTGGCAATCCCAGACACGCATGGTGCTTTAAGGCTGAAGACTATGTGGGCAGAATCAGCAAGCTTGCGCACTCAGCATCTTTTGGCACAAGGGCCACTTTGCTTTCTGTTAAGATCTTGAAAAAGTATCGCCTGATGATGTATGTCAGGTTCTGGAAGGGGCTGCTGTGACACAGAACGTTAACATATCTGCGCCAGGCAAAAAAAGAAGTGGTGTGCTGCATGTGCCCTGCAGAAGGGCAAATGATTTTATATGATCCGTAAGATTGGTATATTCTTTGTCTTCAATATACAACTTTTTCTTGGGCATGCCAAGTTTTTTTGCAAAAAAGATTGATATTTGATAAAAAAAAAGATTGATATTTTTGATATGTTTTCTCAGGAAAAGATTGATCTTCCTTGATGTGGTTGGGAACACATAAAACAGCTATAAAATGCAAAGATTGATCTCCAAAAAGATTGATATTTTTTTTATAGGAAAAGATTGTTTTTTTGATCCTGGACCCTCTGGGAAAGAGACAGCGCTGCAGTTGTCCAGTCTTCAGATGAAGGCTCTTTGGCGGTAAGGTCCGCGCGGGCGCGCGCCTATCCCCCCCGCCTCCCGAGCAGGAAATCAAATAAACGGGCTCCACACCCTCGCGCACGCGCAGTCAAGCGTGAGCAGATGAGCCGATGTGCGCCGATAAGCCGATATCGGATATCGGGTTATTGGCTTATCGGGTTATCCCAAATAAAGACCCGCCCAGCCGACACACTGGATAAAGAGATAGCACGGGAGATAGCACGGAAGATAGCACGGGAGAACGGCTCTCTGTAAAACTCAACTATAACGGCTCCAAAGCTCCCTATAAAGCTCCTTATCAAGCTCCTTATAAAGTCCCATATAAAGCTCCTTATAAAGCTCCTTACTAAGTTCCTAATAAAGCTCTCTAGAAAACAGCAATATAAAGAGACAGCGCTGCAGTTCGCGCGCGGTCACTTGCGGTCACTCGAGTGGCTGTGAGTGGCTGCGCGCGGTCACTTGCGGTCAGTCGAGTGGCTGCGAGTGGCTGTGCGCGGTCACTTGCGGTCACTCGAGTGGCTGCGAGTGGCTGCCAGCGGTCACTTGCGGTCACTCGAGTGGCTGCGAGTGGCTGCGAGCGGTCACTTGCGGTCACTCGAGTGGCTGCGAGTGGCTGCGAGCGGTCACTTGCGGCCACTCGAGTGGCTGCGAGTGGCTGCGAGCGGTCACTTGCGGCCACTTGCGGTCACTCGAGTGGCTGCGAGTGGCTGCAAGTGTGCCGCGTCAATTCACGCAGCGTCCGCGACCTCAATGAAAGAACTGGAACCCATTCCTTTGGGTGGGCGATTCCATTTTTAGTGGACATTAGACTCACTTCCTGAGTGAGTTGGCCAAATTGTTCGCCACTAAAATGGCTCAATCCACAAAAGTGACTCAAGTCCGAAACGGAACTCGGGAAGTGAGTCGAGGGCCACTGAACTGGGTTTACATTTTACTGGCGGTGGATTCAAAGACTCTGTAATCCGGGTATATGTTCCCGAGTGGCAGGTTCTCGTCAATCTTGAAGTCATCGGAAGTATGCCTTCCTCGACACTCTCGCATGTGATTCGTCTTGGCCCTATGGAATACATTTGTGACTATGCAGTCAAGGACACCATAGAATCCGTCGTGTTCGATGCCGGTACTCGTTCCATGTTTCAAGGCTGCTTCGATAATGGATCTCTTCGACGCGGAA